TTGAAGCCATCATTTCACCATTCTTGAGTTCGCCCGACCTTTTTACCTCTTATTGACTTAACCTCGCGCCACCAATTATCAAAATCTCTCGGGATCTTCCTGTAAATCCCCATCTTTCATATTCTGAGTCTTCATCCACATTCGCACGACCGATCTCTTTGTTGAACAACCAATATAATTCCTTGCAGAAGCTTCGCCAACCACGCGACCACTAATCTGCTCACGGGGAATAACCCACCTAGGGAAATCACCTCCCGACATCTTCCCACGCCGTTGCACGGGGTACATTCACTATGACACCAATAGCCCATCCTGAGTCCGAGCTCACCTTCCAGCTGCACAAGTCCATTCGCCCCTCGCGGACATCNTACTAATTCGATGTGAGTTAAACAATTCGAGCTACCAATGGGTTCACAATTAATCCACGTGCAACATGCTTTTGGGTCCTAACTACCCGGACAATAGCATAATAGTAGCTACGCACGGACTCTCGTCACCTCGTGCGTACGTAGCCCCCACAAATAGGAGCACATAATCAATTACTTCACCTATGGGGTAAATTCCCCCTCACAAGATTAGAAAGGAGACTCACCTTGCTCCGAAGACTCAAACCGGCATTCTAATTCTTCCGAGGACTCCAATTGATGCATCACTCTCCAAGACTAGCCAATGGTTACGCAAATCCATTAATATATGCTCAAATATTCATTACAACTAATTTATAGCAATTCTTAACCCCGATTGGAAAGTTGACCAAAACGCCCTCGGGCCCACGTGCCCGGAATCCAAAACTTTTCGAAGATAAAGTTTACCCATAACCTTAGGAACTCGAATATATAATTTTCTCTTAATTCCATACTCAAAATCGTAATCAAAATCCAAGATTTCTAATTTCCTAGGTTTTCAACCAAAACCCCAAATTTACACTAATCTTCATACTTAAATCCATACATAATTGATATATTTAACACAAAAGTGATGGGGATAGCTTACCTTGACATTGACGACGAAAATCCCCTCCTTGAAGCTCTCCAAAATCGCCCCAAGCCATGAGAAATATGAGAGAAATGGCCAATCCCCGACTTTAAATTAACCTTCTGCCTCCAGGGATTTTCGCTTCTGCGGAAATAGTCCCGCTTCCACGGTCCCGCTTTTGCGGAAAATATTCCGCTTCTGCGGTCCCTGGGCTCAAGCCCATTTTCGCTCCTGCGATAAGCCAACCGCTTCTGCGGTTCCAGATCAGCGGATCAAGGGCCGCTTCTGCGGTCCTGGCTGCCCTCGCCCTCGTCCGCTTCTGCGGCTTCTTCTTCGCTTCTGCGGGGCCGCTTCTGCGGTCCCATTTCCGCAGAAGCGGAAATACCAGATACCAGCTGCCTCAACACTTCTTCAAACTCCGGATTCGATCTGTTAGCCACCCGGAATCCACCCGAGGCCCCCGGGAACCCAACCAATCATACCAACCAGTCCCAAAACACATTACGGACTTGCTCGAGGCCTCAAATCACAACAAACAACGCTAAAACCATGAATTACACCCCGATTCAAGCTTTATGAACTTTGAACTTTCCAACTTCTATTTCCGATGTTTAAACCTATCAAATCACGTCCGATTGACTTCAAATTTTGCACACAAGTCACATTTGACATTGCAGACCTACTCCAACTTTCGGAATCGGATTCCGACCCCGATATCAAAAAATCAACCTCCGGTCAAACTTCTCAAAAATCTTCAAATTTCTATCTTTAGCCAAATGGCTTCAAAATGACCTACGGACCTCCGAATTCACTTACGATCGCGCCCCCAACTCCAGAATCACCATACGAAACTACTTCCAGTCTCGGAATTCCAAACGGACATCGATAACTCTGAAATGCACTTCAAACCAAACTTTTGAAATTCCTTCTAAAATGCTAACTTCCACAATAGGCGCCAAAACGCTCCCGGGTTATCCAAAACCCGAACTGGGCATACGCCCAAGTCCGGAATTATCATATGAACCTGCTGGAACCTTCAGATCCTGATTCCGAGGTCGTTTACCCAAAATTCCAATCTTAGTTCATTCTCCCAACTTTAAGCTTCCGAAATAAGAATACTCTTCCCAAATCAACTCTGGACTTCCCGAAATTCAATTCCGACCACGCGTACAAGTCATAATACCTGAAATGAAGTTGTTCATGGCCTCCGACTGCTGAACGGAGCGCTAGTACTCAAAACGACCGGTCGGGTCGTTACATTCTCTCCCACTTAAGCATACGTTCGTCCTCGAACGTGCCGAGAACTATACAAAAGTAGTCTGAAATCACTGTTTAGCACCTCATGCACCTTCCCGTGCTACCACAACTTAGCTGAGCACATTAGCTCGATAAATTCTGAAGATATCCCTTTTATTCAAGGAAATAAGCCTTAGAGCCCGATTCCAACATCCGGAATCCTATGCCAGGCCTGTTTCCACATACGATCGCCATATCAATCACCACACGCTGTACTCAAACACGATTGCATAACTTTGTTGAATTCACACTTTGCATTACCCACTCGTAAGGCCACAATAACCCCCTTTTGATCAACTTAGTCAAAATCCAACTAATATGATGCTCCCATTGCACCCCATGACACATACAGGTCTTACTCTAACCTTTACCATACCGCCATGACGGAAGAGATGTACTAACATTCATAATCAATTGCCGAGTCAACAAAACATTAGGTCTATACTCCTGACAAGGCCTTCACCTCATTCTGAACCCAATAATGGTCTTATCTCCATAACATGCCTCATATAGCTGGATTGCACAGAATCCTAGATCAAGGGATCTCGTCTCATCCGATACAACTGCTCAGGCAATAAGCCACCCCAGAAATTGTTAAAATCTCATATGAGGCTACCCTGCGCCAATAGGCCACCAATTCGAACGCATTGCAAAAGGAAAACGAACTCTGGGAGGAACCTAACTCCCGCACTACTACGGACTTTCCTTAGAAAATAGGAAGCGAAACACACAAAAATAGCATATAGGAAACTACACTCATATCACTCTGTTGCGGCGTGCAACCCGATCCACACAGCATAGCCATGGCGCTGTGCCACCCGATCCTCACAACATAACCATGGCGGCGTGCCACCCGATCCTCACAACATAACCATGGCGGCGTGCCACCCGATCCTCACAACATAACCATGGCGGCGTGCCACCCAATCCAAACGTAGAACTCACATAAGGAGATACACATCGAGTTAAATTGCTCATTATAATGAATTACCGAATCTCGGTCTCAAGCACTCTACGTGTATAGTACCATCCCCTGGGGAACACATAGCGCCATAAGCTACAAAACCCAAGCTCAACTGAGGTGCGATACAAGATCTAAATCTCGAGAGCCATTCCGCTCACATAACATCATCGCTACGCGGAACCTTAACACATAAGAATTTACCAAGCCGTCTCACAACTCATACGGTGCATTACATCATTACCTGGAATAGCTGATGAGAAAATAACACCCCGACTGTTCCTCCATAGGGAACGCTCGCTGAAGCGAACACACTGGCCCGATATAAAGCCCTGTTCACATATAAATCAATCCACCGATCTCAAGCCGATTTCTGATTGCACCAACTTGGCCAATGACCTTTCAAAGGTCCGTAGCAACCCCCTTTTGCCTCATATCACGTAAGAATAACCATCCTAACCGGAGCAACCTCCTCAGTTCATAACCCAATATACAAAGTGCCCTCCAGGCATAAATTCTCAATTTAACGATATCATCACAATTCTTCATACTTGGTCTATATCTTTAATCAATCAAGTGGCGTCGTGCCACATTTATGCAATCTTCCTGTGGAACACACTTCCACAATCTACCATAACAATTAACTGGGTCTTACCTCCACCCAACCGACCGCACTAACGCTGATAAGCGATCAAGAATCATTAACTATGATACAAGCCCTCGCTACAAAACACCAATCTCAGGTGAGCTGAAGACAACCCCAACTTACTTTAATCATTCAACCCTTTCCTTGCTCATCCGAGTCCGTGACACCCTTGTCAACACTAAACTGCAACCTTGATCCTCACTTCGTATTTCCATGCTACTCACTGCACCCAACGTGCCAACATACGATAGAACACGATTTTTCATCATAACTCCGAAATCATTAATATTTTAACACTTCATCACATGCGCACTTTTCACTTAACTCACTTCGGGAG